AAACCTTAAAAAAAAAAAAAAAAGTTAAGGTTGGGCCAGCCCCATCGCACAGCAGTTAAAGGATCTTGATCCCACATGACTAACCATGGTTCAAATCCCATCCCGGTGGCTTGAGAAGACATACCAGGTGCTTGTGTGCATATTCCACACCCCAGATTTGGAGATCTTAGAGGAGAAGGGATTGTAGCATGACCAAACCCCATTGGGGGTTGCTGTCTCCCTCTCCCTCTCTCTATCTCTGTCTCTCTCTCTCTCTGGTGAGTACTCACATTCTGCAGCAATAAAAAATTAGTTAAGATGGTAAATTTTATGTATAGTGTATTTTTCTAATAAAAAAATAAAAACACAAACAAAATCAACAGCAAGAAGATAACTGAAAACCAGAACCTCATCTAGGTGGGCAGTGACTCAGATCTCTTGTTCCCTGCCTGTCGCTCCCGCTTCAAGCTTCTGAACCCTCTTTAGGACAATGCGATTCAGGGCAGATGTGAAGAACGCCTGATAGACGGCAGGCAGGCAGGGGGCGCACAGGAGGCGCAGAGCCGATCTGAGCTGAGGCTGGATGGGAACAGGCCCCCTCTGATCCCCTCTAGCTGGGATGTGGCCTTCATTAGAGCAACTTGGTTCTCAAGTCTTTTCTGTCCTTTTCAAAGGATGAGTGCTCTCAGAGCCTGACACGGACTGGAGCCTTCATTTAAACGACGGCTACCAGCCACCAGCTTTATGAGCAAGACCTGGGAGGCATCCATGCAGAGCCAGGTCGGGCCGACTGAACAAAGCTGGGGGGCAGGGGTCCTGGTCCTGGGCAAGACAGACAAGCCCCCTGCCGAGCTTCTGCTCTTTATGTCTCTTCGCCTGAAATCCAGCACAGGCAACGTGCTCGTCCTGGGGCAGGGAGTGTGAGACCCCCTAGGCGTTCTCTGTGAGGGCTCAGATACGCCCAGCTGCTAGCAAGGAAATTAGGTGCACTTTAGAAAAGGTAGGTATGGACTCTGTCCCCACAGGAGCTCATTAACGTGGTCGTCTCCTCACTGGCTCCCTCGGCAATCCCGGCTGGCTCCCTGGGCTCGCTTTCCTTGCAGTCACATCCTAGCAGACGCTGGTGGCTGCTCTTGTCGCTGGCTCCCTCTGCGAGCTCATCGCCCCTGCATCATAAGGAGGTCCTTGTCCAGAACACAGGTGGCCTGGTCTTGGGCCACGTGGTCACCCCTCTGCAGGCTTCATGCTCCTCAGCTGTAAAGGAGGCCAGGACCCCCTGCTTGAAGGAGGCGACAGGTAAGAAGAAACTCTCCAGATCTGTGTGCCCAGACTTGACGGCTCCACTGACTTCTAGTCAGGTGTCCCAGCTGCCTGCTCGCCCATTCTTGATGCCCTCCTCCCACGTGACAGCTTGAGAATGGTCAAAAACAGTGGTTCGAGTCCCAGCTCTGCCAGCTGTGGGATCTCAGACCAGTCAAGCCCTCTCTGGGGCTCTGTATCCTCTTCTTTAAAATGGGGAAGGGGCTTCCTCTATCCTTTCCAACTCAGAGTTACTCTAAGGATGGCTACCATACACAGAGGGTTGACTCAGAAACCCCCACCCCCAGAAAGCACTACTCCCACAATCTACAGATGAGGGAACCAAGGCTCACAAAGGGGAGGTAAGGAGCTCAGAAATCCCAAAGTGGAAGAGCCAGGGCTTGATCTCATGCAGTCGGACCTAGCACAGCGGGGTGGCGGAGAGCGGTAACCGGGGGACGGCTGCCTGGCTGTGTGGGACCCCGGGGCACATTGCTTATCTGTTCTGTGCCTTAGTTTACCCAGCTGTAAAATGGGGAAGGCTGTGGGGCTGGCAGGTGGCGTGGTGGTTGAGGTGCTGGGCTCCCACATGGCCAACTGCAGTTCAAGTCCTGGATCTGAAGGCTTGCCTTCTCACTTTCTCTCTCTTTCTCTGTGTTTCTCTCTGGTCAAATTAAAATAATAATAATAATAATTCAAAATGTAAATACTTCTCTGACAAAAGGAATGAAGGCTAGTGATACGGCTCCTCTCAGGACTGCAGGCAGCCTCGCCCAGTGCTCTGAGCCAGACTCTGAGCCTCACTCTGTGTGACCCCTCCCATGGTACAGCCAGGAACCTGGAGGCTGAGTCACTTGCTCCAAGTGGCACCGTCCGTGACTCGTGCAGTGGGACTGAAAGCCAGAGGCCTGACGCCACAGTCCACGCTTTCAACCGCCCTCACCACCTCAGTGTGACACTTCAAGTGTCACATTCTGAACCAATCTCCCAGCTGGGGAGAGCCCCCCACAGGCTGCCTGGCTCACCCCTCCTGATGGGACTGGCCCTGCACTTTGTCTGTGGCTCTTTCCTTACCAGCAGCCTCCAGCGTGGGGGACTAAATGATCCCCACTGGAAACATCACAGACCCACCCCTTCCTCTCCTGCCCTGCCCTCCCCCTCCAGTGTGCACCCGAGAGGAGAATGGAGGAGAAGGGATTGTGGCATGGCCAGTCCCCCTGGGGAGTGATTTCTCACTTTCTCTCTGATTCTGTCTTTTCCATGAGCACACATGCCCTATAGCAAAAATCTCTTAAAAAAAAAAAAAAATCAGGGGAAACCCAAGTGCCTGAAAAAGCTGCAAGATGTGTCTGAGAGTTCTCCCCAAGTGGGCAAGGTCAGCCCCGCAGGGCTGGTGAAAGAGCAGCTCCAGGAGTGAAGTCCTGCCTGCAGTCTCCAAACCTGTTCACGCTGCGTGTCCACGGCAGTTCCAGCCTCCTAAGGAGCCTCCCCGACTCCCTTCTGATGTTCTTGTCCTACCCTTGAATCCTACCCTGGTGCTGGACTCGGGCCTGCCAGATCAGCCTTCCCTGAACTGCACTTCTGTCGAGAGACAGATCCTAGTGGTCATAGTCTTCAATGTCTGGATTTGAATCCAGCTCCCCAACTTAGCTGCTGAGTGACCTAAAGCAAGTTGCTTGACCTCTCTGTGCTTCAGCACCACTGTCTGTAGCAGAGGGACAATTGGGGGGGGGGGCGTAGTGGGGGGGGGGGTCGGGAGGCTGAAGCCAATATGTAAGTGCTTGGAACAGAGTGAGCGGCTGTCTCGGGGTGGCAAGAATTCACCTCTATCACATGCCTCCTTGCTGGGTAATTTTGCAAAAGTCCCTTTCCTTCCCCAGTCCACAGCTCCTGCACGTGGAAAATACACGGTGCGTGTCTAACCTGCTAGTGACTGCGGCTAATGCTGGTGGCAGGTAAGCTTCAGAGAGGAGAAAGACCCAAGCCCAGCCCCACCCCAGGGTGGGGTGCACAGCAGCAGGAGCCCAGCCAGCAGGGCTTCCCACCACCAGTGGCCTCCTATGCTGTCCTTCTTCCAGTCGGAGACCCCGCCCCCACTTCTAGGCCCCCGCAGGTACTCTGACTGGACCCGGAGTCACGGGCACGTGCCCATGGTGCCCTGCTGGATGCACACACGTGGTCACCAGATAAGGGCCCAGGTCCTCCCTCCACCCTCCACCTTGCGGAAGGCAGGACAGGTCTGCACATACCCATTTTACAGACTGAAAAGGAAGTTTCCCAGAGCCCTAATATTCGGCTTCCTGCCTCCAAGTACAGTGTGGAGAATCCGAGGACTGTCAGGAAACCGCCTCTTCTGGTGGGGCAGGAGGCATGGCTGTCTGCCTGTAGTTCCATGATGCGAAAAGACGCATGCTGGGTGCTGGTGACCCACATGAAGAAGACAAGGCGCCAGACCTCAAGAAGCCCACAGACTGGAGGGAGGATGTGAGACAGATCCGTGCAAGGTAAGGGGAGGGGCTGCCATGGCTGGTGGGCACAGACGGCTCTTGAGGACAGGGGGAAGGGGAAGGAGGAGGGAAGCATCCCAGGGCTGCCAGGTTGCTGCCTTCCCAGGCGGGATCTAGTGGACTCTGTGACGGACAATGAGAATGTGAGCTGTGGCGTCCAGCAACTTCTGAGTCCCAGTGCCAGCTACTCACCTGCTGACCCGGGACCCTGGACAGATGACTGAGGCTCTCAGAGTTTCAATTTTCTTTCTTTTTCATTTATTTATTTATTTATTTGTTTATTTATTTATTTTTGCCATAGGGAGGGTACACTTGCCAGAGAGAGAGAGACAGCGAAAGAGGGAAAATGAGAGATCACTCCCTGGAGGGATGGCCATGCTGCAATCCCTTCTCTACTTTCCTCTCAGGATTTTGGGCACACACACACATAAACACACATACACACACACACACACACACACACACACGGCATGTTTTTCAAGTCCTGCTTCCTGAGACTTGAACTGCGCAGTCTCCAATGTGAGATCTTAACCACCATGCCACCTGCTGGCCCCATCTTTCTCTTTAAAAACAGAAAAAATAATGCCTGCAGGCACGTGCACTTGACAGAGACAGACAGAGGAGAGGGAACCTTCAATGGGGCGTGGTCATGCCAAAATCCCCTTTTCTCCATTTCTCCATCCGGTTGGGATTTCAAGCACATGCACACATGCCCAGAGTTTGTTTCGTTTAGTCATTTTTTAGATTTTTTGTCACAGGGTGCATGCACTCACCAGACAGAGACAGAGAGACAGGAAAGTGAGAAATCACTCCCAAGGGAGGATGACCACGCTGCAGTTCCTTCCCCTCCCTCCTCCTCTCAGGACTTGGGGCATGCACACACACTCAGCACGGTTTTCAAGCTTCCAGGTCCAGAACTCAAACTGTGAAGTTGGTCATGTGGCATCCAGCACTCTAACCACCAGGCCACAGAATTAGCCCTCTTTTATTTTATTTTTTTCATTTGTTTATTTTGTTCATTTGCTTATTTCTTCCACGAGTGAGAGCAACAGTGAGCATGAGAGAGAGACAGCGTTTGCAACAGCCCTGACTCTAGAATCTCCCCCAGTCTCAGTCAGTCCTAGGTCACGGGCACATGTGCCCAGCACACTCAGGGAGGCCTCTGGACTCACACCGAGAACCTTCCTCTGTGGGTTTGCCTCATGGAGCATCACGTCTTATCCCTGTGCCACTGTCCGGCCCCTATGAGCTTATATTTACTTCTGTTCTTTTTTTTTTTTTTAATTTTGCTATAAGGCATGTGTACTCACTGGAAAGAGACAGAGACAGACAGACAGACAGAGCGGGAAAGTGAGAAATCACCTCCCAGGGGGATGGCCACACCTCAATCCTTCTCCATTCTCCTCTCAGGATTTGGGGCATGCATGCACACATGCACACACACATACCCCAGGCATGTTTTTTAAGCCAGTGGGTTCAGATCTTGAACTGTGCAATCATCCGTGCTGGTTAAGGATCCAGCTACCCTAACCTGCACACCAGAGCAGCCGTTTTCTTATCTGGGAAGTCAAGGGCTGGAGTATGTTGCTCCAGGGTTGCCCCAGGTGAGAATCCAGCAGAGTAAGCAGAGGAGCAGGGCTGCAGCGCCTGGGGCTGCGGGATACTGGGGCTGGGTCCGGCGAGGGCACCAGGGAGGGCACCCCAGCCCACCCCTCCAGCCACAGAGGAGGAGGCAGCAGAATTAGCTGGCCACTCCTGTTCTTTCCTTTCCGGGCCTGGACTCCAGCACTCGCTTTCCAGCCAACTCTCAGGTCCCCTACAAGGAGGACATGCGTTTCCTACTGGTTCTTGGCCCCTCCTGAGCTCGTGCGGGAACAGATGTCCTTGCTTCCTGCCCAAACCTGCGAGCTGGGTTGGCTCCTTTTGCTGCCTCCAGAGAGGCAGAGGCTCTGGGTGGAAATCTCTGGGCTTCCCCGGAGAGGAAAGTTCTCTCTTCCCTGATCTGGGTTCCTACCCCAGCACCTACTACTAGCTAACCTCCAGACATTGCTGGGCCCCAGGTGAGCCTGGCTTCCGTGGAAGGCCCCAACTGTGGTGCTGGATGGGGTGCAGGGGTGAGCCTTAGTCTGAAACATGCCTCAGCTCTGCTCAGAATGGGGGGTGGAGCAGCTATGCAGGGAGGCCCCGCAGGCACCTGGGGTCAAAGGGAAAGCGGTGGGACTGAGCACCTCGTACTGGCTAGGGACACGCCAGGAAGGGGCGGCATGTATCGGGCACCTACCACATGCCAGGCACTGTGCTGCACTCCAGGAATAGAACTGTGCAGCACATCACAGCGCCACCCCGAGTTCCTGGGGGAGTCTACACACAGCACCTGATCCGGGCTGCGGTGGTGCAGCGGAAAAGTGTGTTGCCCTGAGGCTGACCCACCAAGAGGGCTCTAGGTTGGTGTCCAGAGACCTCCGGGTACGGCTGGCATGCATGTGCCTCTGATCTGGATTGTGGCCTTGAGACCCTGTTGGGCCTCGTGTCTCTCTCTCTCCCCCATCTCTCTCGTTCATGGAGGAAGGTGGGTAATGTGCTGTACTTGCACATGGCTGACAATGGTTCAAGTCCTGGGCCTGGCTGCTTGAGACTCATACCTAGCACATAAGCAGGCATGCCCAAAATCCCGAGAAGAGAATGGAGAAGGGATTTTGATGTGGCCATCCTCCCTGGGGGGTGATTTCTCACTCCCCCACCCCTTGTGAGCTCACATGCCCTATGGCAAAAACATTTTAAAAAGTATAAAAAAATAAAGAAATGTAACGTAATACATGTCCCCTGGCCTTATCCCCACTGCGATCGGTGAGGCAGAAGCATTCTACAGAGGGGCAGCTCAGGACCTGAGTCCAGACTAGGATGGAGACAAGTGGCCTTCTCTGTCCCCACTCCTGGGAGAAGTCCCTCCGCTCACAGCACGACAGGAGGGGTTTGTCTTCCTTCAGGGGAGTTCGCATTTCCAAAGGTGCTGCCTGGAGACAGAGGTGAGGCTGCCTTGCAGCTCCCTCCCCTGGAGCTCAGAGTCCACGGGCATAAGGTCTCGTGGGAGAAGCTATGACGAAAGAAGCCCAGGGGGCAGAGGGAAGAGAAAGACATTCACCATCTGCTCTACTGGGCACCGAGGGAGTGGGGAAGGATCTCGGGAGAGGGGCTGGTAGGGAAGAACCAGGCCTGAGAGGTCTCCCAGCATGGGAAAACCCCGGGCTGCCTGGAATACGTTGGTCCTCTCAGCCCCGTGTTCCGTGTGCCTGTGGCAGAAACCACCAGTGAACTAATTCGTATCAAATCTCCCATGTTTTAGAAATGACCTGGGGCCAGCAGGTGGCATAGTGGTTAAGGCATTGGACTTCCATGTGGTCAGCCACAGTTCAAGTCCCGATTGTGGTGGTTTGAAACTCACACCGGGTGAATGTGTGTGTATGCTCAAAATCCCAAGAGGAGAATGGAGGAGAAGGGATTGTGGTGTGGCCATCCCTCTAGGGGATCCAGGGGGGTGATTTCTTACTTTTAATCTCTCTGTCTCTGTCTCTCCAGTGAAGGCTATACTATACTCCCTATAACAAAAATCTCTCAAAATGAAATAAAAAGAAATGACTTGATCTATCTGAAGGCTTTCCCCATCTAATTCAATCACCTTCCTTTTAAATTCATCTCAGCTCGGGACCAGCAGTTGGCATAATGGACATGTCACTGAACTCCCATGTAGTCGACCACAGTTCAAGTCCCGGACCCGGTGGCTTAAACTCACGCCGGGTGCTTGTGCATGCATGCCCAAGATCATGAGAGGAGAATAGAGGAGAAGGGATTGCAGCATGGCCATGCCCCCTGGGGGGGGTGATTTCTCGTTTTCTGTCTCTCTGTCTTTCTGGCGAATGCACACACCCTATAGCAAAAACCTCCCCCCCAAAAAATTCATCTCAGGTCAACAAGCGTTTACTGAGCAGACGTGTTGTACTGTGCGCTTCACTCAGCTCAGGAAAATGAAAAAACATTCTCCCCCTGGGACCAGCAGTTAGTGTAATGGCTATGTTGCTGGGCTCCCATGTAGTCAACCGTGGTTCGAGTCCCGAACCCGGTGGCTTAAACTCACGCCGGGCATGTGTGCGTGCGTGCCCAAGATCCCAAGAGGAGAATGGAGGAAAAAGGATTGTGGTGTGGCCATCCCCCCTGGGGGGTGATTTCTCACTTTCTATCTCTCTCTCTCTCTGTCTGTCTGGCGAGCGCACACGCCCTATAGCGAAAAAAACCTCTCCAAAAAAACAAAAAAATCTCCCTCTTTGATCAGCAGAGCAATGGCTAAGGGTAAGATTGGGAGAGGTGGAGGCAGACCATGAATACCTCTAGTGGCCCCAAGGCCAAGTGCAAGACGGGGAGGAAGCTCATCCCACTGAATCCCTCTCCGAGTGTCCCCTCAGAAAGAGAGGCCCCTGGCACGTTGGAGCTGCTCCCTGGCTGCCGATGGAGAAGTGGGGCTGAACGGTGCAAGGGGCGGGCCATGGTGGCCATGGAGGAGCCCCACCCAGCTCTCTTTGGGAACGAGCTTGCTGCCCAGATGCACGTGGAACAGTTCAGATAGCCTTGAGCTAACGCCATTCTTCTGGGGCAGCCCCCAGTCCCTAGCACGGAAAAGGCACCATGTCACTTCTGCACCTTCGTCACTGCGAACATGTCCTCAGGAGCAGTCTTGGCCCCAAAGCTGCCTGTTGGGTTGGCCCTGATTCCTTAGATCTGCACTGAGGTCTGGGTACTCCCTGTCCTGTTCTGCCTCCTCTCCTTTCACCTTTCACGTCTAACCCCACCTCAATGTCCACTTCCCAGAGGACCCCGCTGACAAAGGCTACCTCTAAACAAATACACGGTCCCTCCCCTCCTCCCCATCATCCACTGCCAAGTCCCCACACCTCTCACCTGGGAGCTTCCATGTCCCTGGCTGATGCCCTAGTCCTCTCCTGCTC